GTCACTTATTGTGAGGGGTCAAAGTTCACTTCTCTTAGTCCCCCCTCCCCCCCTGCTGTGACGGCTAACGTTCAGAGTGTGTGTGTGAGTGTGTGTGAGGGCGTCACTGTCTCTGAGGGGTTATGGCTGCTACTTGAAGACATAGTTGATCAGGACCTGAAGGAGGATGAGGAAAATGATGATGACGTAGTCGCGCTGCTGGAGGAAAGAGCCGCCCTCCGCCCGGCCCGTCGCACGGCTGCGCAGCACACTGATGCTCCTAAAAACACACAGGAGTTATATGTAGATGCTCAAAACGCAGGCATCACATTAAGGCCGTGGTACAGTGAGACTAAAGCTCCATCTCACCTGTTAATGTCCTCCTGCGTCCGCTTTATAGATTCAATGGCACTTTGAAGTTCACTGAGGTCTGCTCCTTTTTTCCTCAGCCGACTGTTATGCTTGCTTTTGTGTCCTGCAACAAAGTGTGTTTGGGCAGGGTTAACCAAAGAGACTTCAAAGACCTTTTTAATGCCTTATATAATGTGATTTAATCCTTTTTCCAGGGTCATCCTTGTCAAAGAAAGATGCAAAACCAACAGGGAAAATAAGGCCTACAATTATTTAGTAAGTACATGAATTTATTGACATTTATACCAAACTGTTGAGAGTGCTTCCCAGCTGTATATCACAATAATTCCTTGTAATATATAAAATCAATTTATGTGACCTGGACCTGAATCGAGCCTTTCTTGGGAAGTATCGTGTCTAGTGTCAGACACAATTGTATAGTGAGAGCGAGGCTTATAGGGAACTACATTATTCTACAGGCAATACACTGTGCAATCTACATTCACTTCATAATGAGAAGTACAAAACAGCCTCCTGTGCGCACAATACACTGTCGCACATGTATTCCAATAGTCCGAAAATACATACATAAAAAGAATATATAAAAGTACTGTTGCTGTCTACAGTAAGCTAATCCTAACCCTTCTAAGGCATTTTTGGGAGAACTTTTTAACACTTTAAGACCTGCAGATGCCCTGGTTAAACCTGCCATGTTGAAGCAAGTTTTTAGTTCTTAGAGTGTATTATCATTTTAGATTCTAATGTTGGGTGTGGACACAAACTAAATGAAACATGAAATACAAGCATGCTCCTACACCATCAGCTCCACACCACCAGAGTGTGCTGTTTACTAACTTCGACCTATTTTACAGCTGGTAACATGAGAAGTTAACTACACTCTCAGACTAGTTTAAACCCTTATTTGTAGGGTGTTTGTAGCAGATTTAGACAACTACATTAAAACCATGCTGAACCTGGGTGAAATGTTAAAATGTTACAGCTGTCTAGGTTACATATAACCAGTGTTTCAACAGCATTGCCTTGATGATATTTCAACATGTAGCTTCACACTAAACCATAGTGATCTATTGGCTCTTGAAACAGCAGTATATGTCTAATAATTGTCCAATTTTTCAACTAGATTTAGCCCAGTTTTTACCGAGAAGTATGTTTTACCTGCTTATTGTACTGTTGTGTATCTGTATTAACATTATCATACAGTATCTATCACAGACTATATGCTGCAGGCCAGTATAAGTAAATGTGGATTTTTACCATAAAAAGTACAACGTGGTGTGTGTTACTCCGTGTGTATGTGTGTATTTGTATGTGAGTGTGACTCACGTTCGCTGCCAGACGAGTCTTGGCGGTCGGGTTCGGGGGAAGAACAGCCACTCTCCGGGCTCTTGGGCTTGTCGCTCTTGTGTTTCCTCTTTGGCACCGTTACCTAAACACGCGTGCAAGGACACACATGTAAGCGCACACAAACACACAAAGAGAAACGGGTCAATCGACGCGACCACATGCAACAGCTACAAACAAATAAGAGCACATAAAAACATATCTTAGCATCAACACTAAAACAGACTCCAAAAAATGGAACATTTACAGAATTGTTTACAGACAATGTTTACTTACAACAAATTGATACACACGCTTACACACAAACATGCTAGTCAGTGTTGGCAATGATGTGATGTGCAAGGCATGCTGGAACATCAGTCAGCCACATCCATTTAAAACACTCAACAATGACACACAACCGGCATCCAAAATTAACCAAACCTGCCAAGAGCTGGGACATTAAAATAATTTCATTCAAAGGGATTAATCTGGATTACAGCTCTTATTCTTAGTGCCTTAGTTAATGTGATGCACTTTCAGGAAAAGCCAAAACAGCTTTTAAAGGTTGATTTCAGGTTGGCAGCAGAAAAAACATTTTCAGACATTATTTTTGACAAATACCAGAAGAACAGAAGTGCAAAAACAGTATTGAGGATG